TGGCAGGAAAGTCTGTGCAGCCTGAGTAAAACATGATTTACAACAGCATGGGGAGCAGTACTTCGGCCAAGCTTAGGAAAACCAGGGGGCTTGTGCATGCATGCTTAGGTTGAAATCAGCATGAAGACAAGGGGTGGACTCTTGTTTCACTGAGGCTCAGATAGAAATACCTTCTGTACTCAAGTTTTATTAAACTATCCTTTAGTTAATTTCAACTGTATTAGTTCAGTACACATGAGTCTGAGTTGAATCTTTGATTCCACGTCTTGGAATGTCTTAGACATGCAACAGCCCCATCATTCTGCCCCATTAGCTTTATAACTTTGGCCTGCTTTTAACTGTTCTCAGTTTCAGAATCATCCTATGTAAATAGAACAATAAGGACAGTTATAATGCCTAAAAGTGCTTTATTAGCTAGCTCTAAACTTAGGTGGTTTTGTTATTTTATTGTATGCTAAACAGCTGTGGGACAGAAGCATTGACCACTGGTGGAAATAAAGAAGGAAGGCATGCACATGGGGGCTGAAATCATGGTCGGAGGCATAATTAGGCCATTTTAATGAATTTTCATTTTGGGCATTTTTCTTTAAGCTCTTGCATTTCTTCCACTGCTGTATCTTCCTATCCTCTTTTTTTTTTAAATTAAGTTTTTATTGTGAAAATACTGTACAAAAGGGTTACCGTTACATGAGCAGGTAGTGAGTACATTTCTTATCCAGCATTGTTGCCTGCTCCTTTGTTTTTCCCCTACAATCCCTTCCCTCCTACCTCCTCAGCTTACCGCCCCCCCCCCATACACCTAAATTGTAAAGTTCGTTTTTCGACATAGCATCTTGTACATCTCATTGTTGCAGTGGGTCAATCTGTACCTCTTTTTATCTTTATGTGCCCTCTGAACATCAGTTATCATTTGTTCAGTAAGCACTAAATAAATGTTCCACATGCTATTCATGTGCATCTCATTTATCAACCAAATAGTTCTGTAAGGTAGGTACAGCTTTTATTCCCACTCCAGTAATAAAGAAGCAGAGAGACACAAAGGGGTTAGGTAACGTGCTGTTGGCAATGGAATCAAGACAGAATGCCAGGCCTGACTCTGCTGTAACTGGTCACAGAAACTTTCTTGTTCAGCAACTCAATTACATTGCACAAATGTCAGATATTGGCAGTTTTCTTTCCTTTTTCCTTCTTTACCACAGCCATGTAAAAATTCAGTGCCTGATGTGTCTGTTTGTGTATGCATGTGTTTGTGCTATGTAATCCACAATTTAATGGTGTTTACCATGGCTAGGCATTAAGAACTTTATTAGCTCATTTAATGATCATGAGAACTTGATGAAGCAGGTAGTTTATATATATATATATATATATATATATATATGTATATATATATATTTTTTTTTTTGCAGAAATTAACACCAAAAATTACCTAACTTGCAAAACATCACTTAGCTTAGTGCTTGGAGTTGAGATTGAACCCAGAGGACCTTTGAGCTGGTCTCAATCAGCTTTATGTGAGGGATTCTACTTGACATAGGGTAAATTTCAAAGGTGTGAAGTAAGTTAAGTGTTGGGCAGCTTAGAGCCCCAAAGTGTTATTGCATTTGTAAGAGAAAAACCTTTATCTAATGAAACTTCAAAGGATAAAAACCTAAAAGTAAGTACTAGAAGAAAAAAAAATCAGCAGTTGAACTTCTCCCTGGAAGAACATACCTATAGTGTAGAACATTTAAACCCTTTGTTTTAATTTTTTAGTTAATATATACTTTTCTTGGACCATAAATCAGATTTTTATGAGATTTTCAGTTACCATCTAGTCCTCAAATCTTCATATTTTAGCTAATCTGAACTTTTTGCCATTTTATAAAAATGTCATCCTCTTTTAAGATTCTCAGTGCCTTTGGACATGCTGATTTCTCCTGCTCAGAATTACAGAAGTAATTTTCAAACAGATCTCTGACTCAGATCTAGTCTGTTTCTGGTTAGGCTCAGTTTGCCTGGAGTACAGAATCTTAATTCCTTTCCTTGCCCCCATTTCATTTTTCATACCTTGCTCTTACTTTGCCTTTTAAGAACAAATTTGAATATCATTGTAAAACTTTCTCTAATACATCCCATATACTGGATCACCCTTTCTTCATTGCTTTTTTTTTTCAAGAACACTTTTTAATCGTAATTTTTTTCTCTTCCTAAACTTTTTCAGTTCTTCAAGGAGAGAAACCTAGATTTAGTTTTTTCATTTCTTTATTTTTCGTTTATCACTTATGGGTGCTCAGTAAATACTGGGACTGTGCATCTTCTTTAAACTTTGTCTCAGTTTTAATGGCCAAGGAAAAATGGCTCTTTCCCACCAGCTCTTGGTCCTGTCTAGGGTCAGGGGCAGACAAGTTTGAAAAGGAGCTGGAGGTTTGAGAGAAAGATGGTAAAAGATGAGAAATACTTTCCATCTACCTTGTAACTCAAAGGTCTAATTTTGCTCTGTCTCAGCCAAATGTGACTATTGAAATGTAATGAAATTAAAATGAGATAACAAATTTCTCAGTCATGCTAGACATATTTGAAGCATTCTGCATAGCCTCTTTTAGCTACTGGGTCCTGGGTAGCTCTGATTTGGAACACTGACATAAATGGAACTTTTTGTCATTTCCCATAAGTGTCCTCTGTGCCCGCCATTGATCTCCACACTTTCAGAGTGCAGAAATAATGGACTCTAAAGGAAATTTTCACTTGTCTGGTGATTTTCACCTGTGTCCTAGATGCCTGGAATTGTGCTTTCTGCTATTAAAGACTGGTTAGTGAAAATTGAAGAAAGTCTCATATCATTAAGATTCAGTAAAAAGTTAAGAACCTGTTCTCTTTGATTTGCAAAGTGTTAGTACAATAGTATCCTGGAAACACATTTTTTTTTCTTCCTCCCTCCCTTCCTTCCCCCCTTATCTCTCTCTTTCTCCTTTCTCTCTTTTTTTCTCCTTCCCTCCCTCCCCCCCCTCTATTTTTTTTTTTTCAGTTGTGGGGCTTAAACTGGGCCTAAGCACTGTTCCTCAGCTCTTCAGCTCAAGGCTAGCGCTCTACCACTTGAGCCATAGCACCACTTCTGGCTTTTTCTGTTTATGTAGTGCTGAGGAATCGAACCCAGGGCCTCATGCATGCAAGGCAAGCCCTCTACCACTGAGCCACCTTCCCAGTCCCCCTTTCTTCCTTTCTTCCCTTTCCTTCTTTTCCTTCCTTCCCTTCCTTTCTTTTACTCTTTCATCTTGGGGCTTTAACTCAGGTCTTAGGCAGTACTTTCCCTAAGCTTTTTGCTTAAGGCAGGGGCTTTACCACTTGAGGTAAAGCTTTACTTCCTGCTTGTTGGTGGTACTTGGAGCTAAGAGTCTCATGGACTTTCCTGCTGAGCTTGGGTTGGCTTTGAACTCAGCCTCCTAAGTAGTGAGGATTATAGGTTAAGAGCCATCGGCGCCAGGCTGACAGTTTTAATTTAGTCATATAAAACATCATTTCCATATGTAACAAATGTCAGACTAGAAACTTCTTTAAAAATCAAAAACTATGACTTCTGCAAGTTCCTTGGAAATTTCTTTTTTTCATGGTAGGGTAAGGTAGTGTTACAAACTTTTCAGATTTCTTATGTTTCCATCAGATGCATGTTATAATCCAAATTGAGAAAAAGCTCACCAAAGAAAGACAGACAAGATTTCAGAGGTGAATTGGAGTGGCTTACATAAACATAATGCATTTTGGCTGACAACAGTAGTGTTGAAATTTGCTATGATTTGTGTGTAAGTGCACCTGGAATGAAACATTAGACGTCAATGTTGTAGTTTTGATACTTTACCACAAATTGGTAAAGATTTTTATTTTAGTTCATTCACATAAACTTTTGAGCCATTAGGCTTCTTTACATTTTGATGTGTGCTTATTAGAGAAAAGTAGTGTTTCTGTGTAATGTTGCTGACTCTGAGCACTATACCTAATATATTTATTACTGGAGTTTTAGGGTAAAAGTTTCAGCTCAGGGACTTCCAACAGACTAGTGCCATTTGTCACAATGTGCCTGTTAAAAGAGTGGGGAAGGGCAGAGAAAGGAGAAAGTCAACATGGCTCCTTGGGCACAACAGACAGGGGAACGCCATGACCCCAAGTCTTCTTTGTTGTATTGACATGAACTTCAGGTTTCAGAAGAGGAAGCATTGAGGAAAGTAGGCAAGTCATTTCAGAAGTGAAAAAGGGCTGGCTGCTAAGCCACAGCTTTCCAGAAGTTGGTTTCCAGGCTGAACTACTAACTACACTGTTGTTTCTGCCAGTCCGCTGACCTTAGCCATCTGAATCTTAAATGATGAGCCAATATCAGGCTTGACAGTCTTTGTTGGTTCTCAGTGATGAAATTTTCAGCAGTACACATACAAATTTTTACTTTGAACTAAGAAGTTGGTATTATCATTTGGCCACCCAACAGTGCAGTTGAATCTTTTGTATCTTACACACATCATTAGAAAGTTATTTTTCCCCCAAAGTTAAAAATGACCAATATTTATAGTGCTCAAACTCCTAAAAATAAAGCTGGATTTTAATTTCTTTCTATACACAAATTCAGAATTTTAAATTATAGGCCAGATTCCTTAGAGAAAGTAACACCATTTTTCTAATATAGTAAAGTTTTTGTTTGTTTTTGACATAGTCTTCATTAGTCCCTTCAGTTTAATGACACAGATCTGTGTCTTGGGTGCTTCCTTCTGGGTTCCATAGCTGCATCTCTCACCAACCTGACTGCAGTTGGGTTTGTGTCTGCTGCTGGGTCCTTGGTCTTGAAGCCACCAGAGACCTCCCTGTCAAGTGTGGCTGGGCTAGTGTGGGGTTGATACCAACAAGACAGACATTCCTGTTGCTCCCCATAGTTACTGCAGAAAAGTCTGTCCTTACAAGAGTAAAGGCAGGGGAAACATCAAGAAGGGAACCAGAGGTCTACTCAAGAGGATACTGAAGCTTGCTTTTGCTCTTAGGTTCTGAGGGAAGCTGTGGATGGGGAGTGGATCAGTTGTCTGATGAAGAAGCAGTAGAAGCTGACAATGAGGATAATGTGGAACCCTGTGACAAAGAAATGGAAAATGCTGCGGAATCGAGTACTGGGACTAACACAGGCTGGGCAGATGCCATGGCTAGAATCCTTAACAAAAAAACTCCTAAAAGCAAGTCTACCATTCTCATCAGAAACAAAGATCTAGAGAAGGAGAAAGAAAAGCTAAAGCAAGAAAGAATAGAGAAAAGAAAACAGGTGTGTGCTTTTCAGTTGTCTTTAGATTACATTGTTTCCCTGGGATAGCCCTTATCTGCCCCTTACAGTTCCTACTGTGTTTGTCTCACTGACATTCCAATTTTAAACCTGCTTTTTAGGTGAGGGTGGGGGTGGGTGGTGGCTAACCAATGTTACATTCAGAAACAGTCTGAATGACTCCATTGAGCATGCTTACCTTATAGTCATCTAAGCAAAGAAATAGAAATGTAAACTCTGAGGAAATTTAACTTTCTCAAATTAAGTAATTATACTTGGAGCAGGAACTCTGAGTCCTCAATGTATTATTTGTTTTAGTTGTCCATGTGTTGGCATCATTAGTGTTGGAATTATGAGAAGTACATTTTGTTAATTTTTACTGAAAACCCTTTTTTTAAAAAATAATTAAATACATGACTCAGGTTGGTTGTGATCCTAAAAATGCCATTTTTGTGTTAGATAAACTCATTATGCTTTGGTTAAACCTTTTGGCCTTTCATTAAGTCATTATTAAGATTAAAATTCCTTAATAAAATGCCAAAAAGGTAGGTATGTTTTCTGTTGTGTAGTGTAAAAATAAACTTAACATTTTAAATCCCTTGTACTTGACGGAGTATCTCCCTTAAAATATTTGATTACTAGGAAAAGTTTGATTTTTCTCAAGGGAGAAAAGTGACTGATAATGTAAACTGCGAACTTCTAAGAAGTGCTTTATAGATAGCAATGAAAGAAAAAAGATTTTAGTGACATATATTTCCTTTTGTTTACCACATACTAATCTTGTTTCAAAACAAATGCTTGCACTGTGTAAAAGCCGACAAAGATGGACATTTTTAAACATCTTAGAAACATAACACACAACATATATTCTATTATTAATTCAATACTCTCATTCCACTTTAAAATAAATAATGGAAGCAGCACTGTGGTTCAAGTGGTAGAGCGCTAGCCTTGAGCTGAAGAGCTCAGGGACAGCACACCAGGCCCAGAGTTCAAGCCCTATGACAAACCAAAAAAAAGAAAAAGATAAATATCTGTAAAATTTTAGCATTTCAACTAAAAATTGAATAATTGTTTATTAATTGGATAAAGCTAGAAGAGGCCTTAAATATTAGAATTTTTAATTTAATTTAATCAAAATTCTTGTGAAGACAAGAGTTTCTAAAGCCAGGAAGATTCTATAATTTTTCTCAAATGCTAGCATGTTGGTTATACTGAGGAACACAAAATAGCAGTGACAAATATTTTTATACAACATCTTCCGGTGGAGACTGTAAATTAGCATTAAGATTTCTGATTTGGAGAAGAATCTATTTAGGAAGGAATCAGGCTAATCTTCACAGAGAATATAGTTTTGCTGTTAGATATTTTCATCAGTACAGACTGAGAAATAGATGAGAGAGAAAGGAAGAAATAAAAGGAGACATTTTCCCACCTATCCCAATATGAATGTTTTTCATGCCTATTAGCTTCTAGGTAATGAGTTCATTATATCAGTATATTTGATGTTTGCTTAAATGTTGGCCTGACAGACCTGAACAATGTACCAAGCAAATCAGGCTACTACTTGGAGGCCATTCTGAACTCCACCATATTCTGTGGGGGTTTCTTATTTCCCAGCTCCCCTTCTGTTTTGGCCCAGTGGTAAAAGTATTGGTCAGATGTTCTGTGAGAGGAGAAGTGGATTTAAATGATTTTGTGCAGAGAAAAATGATCACTGTATGAATATCTGGGTATGATACAGTTCATTAATTTATTTATTTTTGTCAGTTGTGGGGCTTCAACTCTGGGCCTGGGCATTGTCCCTGAGCTCTTCAGTTCAAGGCAAGTGCTCTACCACTTGAGTCACAGTACCAGTTCCAATTTTCTGGTGGTTTATTGGAGATAAAAATCTCACAGATTTTCCTGCCCCTGCTGACTTTGAACCGTGATCCTTAGATCTCGGGCTACTGAGTATCTAGGATTATAGTCTGTCCGATACAGTTCTTTTAAAAGCGAATACACAGTCTTAGGAAGTCACAATTGATAAGTCACCTCTTGAAAATAAAGAGGAGTGCTTAAACTTGGAGTTGCTAAAGCAGATAGCTTGGCTTCTTGCCTGTGTCCTTCTCCAGTTGTGGTGGCGGCAGGTCAGGTTGTGTGGCTGTCTGACATCCTACCTTGTGTGCTGGCTGGCCATGCTGGCAGCTCTCCAGACTCCTGCTGTCAGTGACCCTGACAGAAACTCACTTTGTGCCTCTCATGTGGCAAACTGAGTATTAACCATAGGCTCTCTGAGCTGAACCCCGAAAAGTGTGGTTTTCTTTTTTTGAAAAAGTCCCCATGACAACCTAAGCCAGAATGATTTATTACCTTTGTCCTTTCATAGAGTGTCACATCAAAGTTTGCTGCACTTTCAAAAATGCCTAATACCCTTTCACATAACAATATTTATAACACAGCTTGATAAGAAGCGGGAGTGGGAAATGATGTGCAGAGTAAAGCCAGATGTTGTCAAAGACAAAGAAACAGAAAGAAATCTTCAGAGAATTGCAACAAGGTAAGATAGTGTTTTTCCCCTTTACAAAATAACTAGACTAAAGCTTTGATAGTGGTCTATTTTTCATCCGATTTGACTCACTAAACTGCCTTCTCAGACCTAAGTGATATATAGTTGAGCCTGCTATTGAATACTGTATCCAGTCAAACATTCTGGTGGTCTTATGAGGAAGAATGTACTCTGTGTATTTAGTATGAACCTATTTCAGGTCATCTTGTCTTTATAATCACAAGAACATTTCTCTAATCATAGTTATCTGAATTTATGGCACTAGAGGGTTTTTTTGTTTTGTTGTTATCTTCTATTTATTTATAGGATAATAAGTTACTCTATTATGACAGCTTCATGCTATTCTTTTCCTTTTTACTTTATTTTTTAAAATCTCTGGCACCAAACACTTATTTCATGCCTTTGGATCCAAAGATAAGTAAATTCCGGTGGCTGCTGGGTGGTCCTTGCATTTCATCAGTAGGAATTCATCTCTCTGAGAATACAGACACGTTCTGTGTTGTAGGAACACACAACAGGACATTCTTCCAGTGAGCTAGGAATGCTTCTAGAGGAGATGACATTGAAACTGCTACTTAAGGAGTATAGCAATTATGTTTGGTGTTAGTTACTTAGATTAATTTGGTCATTTTCTAATCCATCTAGGTATTAATGAGGTGGTAGGATGATTAGGGGCATATATGATAAGACCAGACTGCTTGAAAGAGTTGAAATGCTAGCACTGACTTTTACTTACTGTGTGTCATGGGACACCTAATTTCTCCCCAGTGTGTTTGGTTTCTCTGAGAGTTAGAGAGCTGTAGGATTAGCACAGGAGAATGAGAGGAGTGTCTCCTCAAATTTTGTAGGCACTTCATTTGTTTCACTGTGGTGTTGGCCCTGCTAAAGGGCATGGGTTTTTTTCCGAGCTAACAGTCCAGCCTGTATTTTAGAAGACAAGAGATTTCTGGGTCCAAGACATAGGGACTTCATTACTCATGGCAAAAGCTATAGCTGGAGCTTCATATTCTCACTGGTCATCTTTGTACCACAGGGGCAAGAGAGGCACACTATGCTGGGGAATGTTGGTTTTATAAGGTTTGCCAAAGCTATGGTTTGTTGGGAGAGAAGTCACTTTATAAAAGAACAGTCAGGCTCCTTCTCTTGCAAAACTTGGTAAGAATACTCAGGATGTGCTGGCCCATGGCAGATTGCCGCTACTAAGAATTATTCTAGGAAGGAGCTATAGATTCTAGAATTTTAGAGTTGGAATAGATTTATAATAAGTCAGTGCTATCCGGAAGAGTTATAATGTGAACCACTTCCATAATTTAAAACTTTCTCGTAGCTTTATTGTAAAATAAAAGTAATGTGAGTGATGGGAAGTTAATTTCGATAATATTTAATATATTTAAAACATTTCAAAAGTAATACAAAATAGGTATCAATATGATTTTAAAACTTTTTTTATATAGTCCTTAAAATTTCATCATGTATTTTACATTTATACCACATAATAATTCAGACCAGTTGCATTAGTGCTCAGGAGCCTGTACTCCTGCTTGATGGGCAGGTACTGTATCACAAAAGCCACATCTCCAGTTCTATTCTACTTTTAGTTTTTTTCGGATAAACTTTTGTGTTTGGCTTCCTACCTATGTTCTCTTATACACCACCTTTGCCCCTTAGTCTTCAGATTTATCTTGGCATGAACTTATCTAGGACAAAATCTTAAAGCTGAGTATCTTTAAAAGCAAGTTTTTAGAGGTGCTGGGAATTAAATTCAGGGCTTCGTGCATTGGGCAAGTGTCTCTCGCTCTAAAAATGGGATTTTAAAATTAGTTTCATAACACAAACATTAAAGATAAATACATATAATTACCTTCTAAATTTCCAATTTGCAGATGAAATTAAGACACAGCAGATCCTTTCTAGTGTTCAATGCTTTAGTCTACAAAACAATAAATCCTGGCTCTTCCTTCCACTTGTGTGTCTCTGCCCATTACATATATTTTGTATAAAAAGTAATTCTTAGTTATAATTGCACAAAAGTTATTTAGTGAAATTTATGTTCATTTTCAGATTTTTTTAAACCATTCAAGACTTTCATTGCAAATGTTAATAAATTTCAGTGTTCTGGTCGCTTTGCATTCTTTAGGGGTGTGGTGCAGCTATTTAATGCCGTCCAGAAACATCAAAAGAATGTGGATGAAAAGGTAAAAGAAGCAGGAGGCTCTATTCGAAAACAAGCTAAGTTGGTATCTACTGTTTCCAAGAAAGATTTCATCAGTGTTCTGAGAGGAATGGATGGGAACACAAATGAGAAGAATCCCAAAGCCAAACAGGTAAGACCTTTACGTGGAGCCAGCACAACAGACTCTTGTTCCTAAACTAAGGAGTTTTGAAATGGACCAAAAGTATAATGTACAGTATTTTTTTTGTTTTCTTTTTATATTTTATTCAAATTGCTTCACACCCATAGCATGATGATTTCTTTAAGATGGAAGTTACCAATTGTGGACATTATGTCCTTGCTATTAGAATTCAAGAGCCTGATAGATCATGTAAATCATTCATATCCGAAATCCTATGGTGGGTGAGGTGAGGACAGCAGCTTCGTTTAAAAGCTTTACCCACTGAGGTAAATGTGATGATGTGAAATTGAGAAGAGTCAGCAGCTAGGCCCCGGTGGCTCATGCCTGTAATCCTAGCCACTCAAGAGGCTGAGATCTGAGGCTCTCGGTTCAAGGCCAGCCTGGGCAGGAAAGTCCATAAGACTCTACTAGGCATTTTTTTTTTTTTTTTGTCTGTCATGGGGCTTGAACTGTGGACCTGAGCACTGTCCCTCAGCTCTTCAGCTCAAGGCTACTGCCCTACCATTGAGCCACAGTGTCACTTCCGGCTTTTTTCTGCTTATGTGGTGCTGGGGAATCAAACCCAGGGCCTCGTGCATGCAAGGCAAGCACTCTACACTGAGCCACCTTCCCAGCCTGACTCTGTGAGACTCTAATCTCCAATAAACCACCATGGCACTGTGGCTCAAGTGGTAGAGTGCTTGCCTTTAGCTGAAGAGCTGGAAACAGCGCTCAGACCCAGAGTTCAAGCCCCACAACCGACCCAAAAAAAAAAAAAGAGTCAAAGCTTCAAAACATCATTTTTGTGTTGAACTGGGTTGATGAGGATCATGTGATTGGGTGATTATGATTATAAATGCTTCTCTGGCTCTTTAACCTTTTGAGGGGAAAGGTGTGAACTACATTTTAATCTCATTGGGACTGGGTTAAAAAAAAGGAAAGATGTATATAGTTGTGCTTTAGTCAATCATAACACAACAGTTTCTGTCCCTTAATGTGTATGTTTAGAAATTAGCAAAAGAGCATTAGAGACTTTATGCCATTTAGTTGCCATTTTGCCTAATTCATATTTTAATTTTCTTGATTGATGCATCATAATTGTAGGGATTTATGAGGTATAGTGTAATTTTTTTGATTCACGTATACATTAGGTATACATGATTAAGTCAAGGTAATTAAATATTTCTGTTACCTTTTTCCTTTTTGTAAATAGTGAGTGTACCCAGAATCCTTTCTTGTATTTAAATGGAGATATATAGTGCTTTGTGATCAGCCTTAAAACACTAGAACTTGGGCTGGAAAGTTGGCTCATTGGTAGAGTGCTTGCCTCACATGCATGAGCCCTGGGTTCCCTGGGTTCCATTCCTCAGTACCACATAAGCAGAAAAAAGCTGGAAGTGGCACTGTGGCTCAAATGGTAGGACGCTAGCCTTGAGCTGAAGAGTTGAAAGATAGTGCCTAGACCCGCCCAGAGTTCAGCCCCCATGACCAACAGAACAACAAAAGCAAACAAAACAAAAAAAACAAAAACACTAGAACTTATCCTTCTATCTAACTGTAACTTTGTACCCATTGACCAGCCCTTTTCTCCTCTGACCCCTTATTTTTTCTAGTTTCTGGTAATTAAAAATTGGGATGTTTTTCTGTGCCGGGCTTACTTCAGTTAGTTTAAAGACCTCCAGATCCATCCATGTGGTTAAAAAGGACAAGATTTTGTTGCTTTTCCCCTTTTTGCCAAATTATATACCATTATAATAGTACCTATTTCATCACAATGTGTTTGTAAAAAATATCTATTATATACATTTGTACATGTACATTGTATGTATAAACAAGCACACAGACATACATATCACATCCATATTTTATTCCTTCATCTGTTGCCCTTGATGCTTTGTTCAAAAATGTGTTGGTGGTAGATGTGATGATACATGTTGGTAATCGAGGAACCTGGGAGACTGAATTAGGATTTGAATTTGAGGCCAGCTTGGGCTGCATAGGAAGAAGACCTTGTTTTGAAAACCGAACAACCTAACATACAAACTATCTTGATTTTTATATACATGCGAGGACTGTGCCTTTTGATTAACTGTGGCTTTGTAGTAAGCTTGTAGTAAATGTGAAGTCAAGTGTTGTAATGACTTAGGCTTTGTCTTTTTACCCAGGATTACTTTGGCTATTTGGGGTCTTTGGTTTGATGATTACATACAGATTTAGGAGTGCCTTATATTTCTATGGAGAATGTCACTGGCATTTTGGTACAATTGCATTGGTTCTGTAAATCAGATATATAGTGCTTTGTGTCAATATTTTAATAAGATTCTTCCATTCCATGAATGTGGGTGCTTCTGTTCTTTTCTTCAGTTTCTTTTGTTGGTGTCGTACAGTTTATAGATCCTCTTTGATTAAATTCCTCCGTGGTCATTTTACACTTTTATAGCTGTTTTTTTTTTGTTAGAATTGCTCTTATGAAGGTATTTTTAGTCAGATCCTTTTGTCTTGAATAATATCCTTAAGATATTTCTCATCTGTTTATTTTCTAATTTATTATGTACCATGGTTATATACAAGGTGAAGCAAAAGTACTTGGAAAGTTATGTTTCAGAAAACTTTTTTAAGGAAAAATAACCAATAGCTTTTTAATCTTTTTAGGGAAAGATTTTTAGAAGACTTAGAAGTATTTTAAAAGATGTCAAAGTGATAAATTATGTTTGAGTCACTAATTATACTTTATTCTTTGGAGCTGAGCCTGGACATTGCAAAGTAAAACAAAACGGTACTTGATGGGCCCATTTCAGAAGAGATAACAGCTAATACTTATAAATCAGAAGGCTTTCAACTAGAGCTCAGGGCACTTATTTTTCTAAGTAATATGTCATCTACAGCCATGAGATATTTCTTCAGTTATATACTTAATGTTTAATTTTTCTACTTCCATGTTAGATCAGTTATTTGTATAGAGGATATACATGACTTTGTCAAATATAAACACATGACACCTTTGGCAGTACACATTAGCAATAATGCTTTCTCCTTTGAAATGGCTCATGTTTCAGTGCTCTTGTGTAGGTGTGGGTAATCAGGAAGTGAATTCATTCCCATGGTCTGCTTCTCTACAGTGCTCATTTTCTTTCCCACTATCATATCATATTATAATCCTATTAAATGAATCTTAGGAACTTATTCTATTTTATTTTCGTTATGTAGAGCTATGTAAAGGGGTACTGATAGATGAATAGAGAAAGTCCAAGCAAAGAAAAATTTCTAGCCCCGAAATAAAAATTTGGGGTTAAGGATTGATTGTCAAATTGGAGTTGTGGTCTACAGAGTGAATAAACCCACCAAGTAAGTAGTTCATTTAGGAACAAGAAAGCAACCCTTTGTAAGTCAGCCTAGCTGTAAATGTGTTACACATATAGTTAGAAAATCTTTCCTTTTATGTGTGTATACGTGCCTGCACATACACATGTGTGCGCATATGTGGTACTGAGGTTTGAACTGACCCTTGCACTTGCTAGGCAGTTACTCTGAGACACTGCCTTGTACCCCTCCCCCTTTTTATTCCAAGTAGAGTTTTGGGCTTTCTTGCCAAGGCTAGAATGAACTACAACTCTCCTACTTCTGTTTTCAGAGTAGCCAGGGTGACATGCATGTCACCTGCCTAGCCTTTTCATTGAAATGGTCTTATCTTTTTATCAAGCCTGCTTCAAACCATCATTTTGATTTCTGCCTCTTGAGAAGCTGAGGTTATAGGTGTGAGCCATTGCATCTGGCTAGAAAGACTGAAAGCTGGAAAAAATGTGATGTGGTGATGTTCGTAGGAAATATGACTCTCAGGAAGGATGTACTTCTAAGAAACATAGCTTTAATTTTAACATGTCATGAAGCAAATAGGATAGAGGAAGAACAGACTGCAATTTTGTTTTTTTCTTGCTCTTTATATAGTTGTCTTTCAGTGTCTGGAGGATTTGTTCCAAGACTGCTGTGGACACCAATATCTAGGACTGTTTAAGTACTTTATATAAAGTGGTTTTGTATTTTAATATAACCTCACTACTGTGTCTTTTAATTCCTAGGTTGCTTATCATACAGTGTAATGCTATGTCCCTAGTATTGTGTTGTTAGTGTTGCTTTGTTCAGAGGATAATGAAGAACAATTTCCTTCATGTTTGGTGTACATATAGTTCTTTTGGTCTATGGTTAGTGGAACCCAAACAGGAACCAACTAATTTATTTCTTTTCTATTTTCTTCTCACATAGAGGTTGGAATATAGGGTGTCTGCTGATGGATGGGGATAAAGAAGATTCTGAGGAAGTAGGTTGAGATTAAACTTTAAATCTCAGATCTTCTATTAAGGTATTTGGAATTTAGTTTTTAGTCAGGGGCCAATTTTCATCAGATAAGTGTCATGGTCAGATTTGACTGTTTCTTTCTTTCTTTTTTTGGGGGGGAGGGGTCTGGTCATGGGGCCTGAACTCGGCCTGGGCGAGTTCAGTTCAGTTCTTCAGCTCAAGGCTAGTGCTCTACCACTTGAGCCACAGTGCCACTTCCAGCTTTTATTTTTCTTTTTGCTTATGTGGTGCTGGGGAATCGAACCAGGGCCTCAGGCATGCAAGGCAAGCGCTCTACCACTGAGCCACCTTCTCAGCCCCAGATTTGACGTTTCTAAGGTAAAGAAAGGATTGCAAAAAGGGAAAGATGGATTCATAAGACCACCTAGTGAGAAGTTACTGACATAACCCAATCTAGAGGGGAGAATCTGAATAAAGATTGTGTTGGTTCAGACATTATCATTTATGCCTATCCCAGCACTGCAATGGCTGAGATGGGTGATCAAGTTCAAGGCCAACCATCATGGTTCTGTCTCTGAAAACAAAAAATAGTATTAGGATGGAGGGAGGGGTATTGGTGATAAACAGAAAAACAAAACAAAACCCAGAAAACTTGAGAAGTCAGTGTGGAGGTCCAGAATGACTTGATTTGAGACTAG